TCCTCTTGATCCTCTTGAACAGAGTTCGGAATTAAGGGACCACGATAAACTTCTGTTTAATGGCTGCCTTATGACTGCTCCCATATAGAAACAGGATGAATATTAAAATATTTTCTCTCGTCTACAAAGCCGCTTAATGGCCCAGACGCGCCATCTTACTTAAAGAACATACATTATACCTACCTGTCTATTAGTGGGCATTGCGTTTACAAGCATGCAGGGTTGTTTGGTTGATTCTAGAGTCTCTAAAATTACATGGACATGCGCAGTGATCTTGATGCAATCAGCTTCAGTTCTGTGTTCGGGAGCCGCGGCAGACACCCTATCGTTTTTAAGACGTGCGCTCTAATACCTATCCTTGTTTTTGATAAAGCGTTATAGATTAAGGGCTGATTTAGACTTCAGCCCGCTAGTTTTGCTGATATAAGGCGTAGTTTGTCGGCCCGGGAATCTTACTTCTTCCTTCATCTCTATGTCTATACTGTACTCTCATGTTCGAAATAACCCAGCACTTCCCCAAATTTCTTTATTTTTCTTTTATTTATATACGCCCGGGATCCAGAGTCATGGATGATCCCTGTTGCTGAGGTCCTGTGTCCTGGATCGCCTGAGCCTCGGATCTTGAGTCGTAGGCTCGTGCCTGATGCTGTGGTCCTGGATACTAAGTCCTGGATGGATAACCTTGTGGATTCTCTTCCTATCTAACCACACATGCATTTCCAAACATTTGGCTACCTACATGTTCGGCAAATGTATTCTTTTTACAATATTACACGGCATACTATCTTGCACGTCTGTCCGTCCTGGGAGAGGGATCTCTCTCTGTTGATCTCCGCTGAAGTTTCTCATGTTTTTTCCCTTTATTAACTGTGCGTTTTCTCCGCGGAAACTCTTTTCTGTACGATGTGACAGGGTACTAAGGAACAGAGGCGTGGTCGTAATTGTGCACTCACTTGGTATTCTGTACAAACTGTGAAGTCCACTGAGACAAATGTAACATTTGTGATATTGGGCTATATAAATAAACATTGATTGATTGATTGATCGCCCTCTTGATCTTCCATGGAAACGGCATATGATGACACCCCATAATTGACGTAGAGCTGTTGAGGGCAGGACAATTAACCATTATCTGAAGTCATGTCAGTTGGAGTTATGACATCATCGTGCTCCATGACACAGGTGTTTATATTTGAACTAACGCGGTGTCCAGAGATCAAAGGTTTCCATTGTTCTGAATGAGAGATAAACCTGTTACATGTGAACGTTTTGTGAAGACCGTAACAGATATCGGTGAAAAGCGTGAAGCATCTCAAGGACCTTGAGTATCTGAAGTGTGCTTTTTGTGTACTTTCGGGTCAATAATGTGGCCTTTTTGGCAGATTAACTAAAGGTGTGCGGCTGCTGCTGTGAGGAAATATCAGCCTGAAATTACAATGGGCTTTAATGGAGACATGTTGAAAGTTTTTGTCACTTCATGCCCTCAAGAGGCATTTTGTTCAATAATTTTTTGCTGAATTATTTGTCATTTTTCAAGCTACGAGATGTTTTCCTACGTTTGTCATGAAAAATTATGTCCCAGGAATGTAGGGTTTGGGAATTATGGCCCTTTAAAAAAAATATATGAAGGCAAATTTCAAGATTTCCTACACTCTAGCTGTGACATCACACACTATTTAAATCTGAAGAAAGCCTCTTTACCAAGGTCTGAACAATGTTTAATATCTCTAAAAGTAAGAATCAGAATTAAAAGTTGTGTAACACGAATAATGTCAGAAAGATTTGTAACATTTTAAAGTTGGAATGAGGTTTCTGAGTGAAAGTATGAATGAACAGTTAGCAGTTGAAGTAGCATGAAGATATGTTGAAGTTGAAGAATTTCTCCATTGACTTCAATGGTTAAAAATGTGATGAATTATGGGATGTATCTCTGGAATTATGAAAGTTATGAATGATAAAAGTAATAGCAATCGATTTTCCGACCGAGCTGAACATTTTGATGTTTGAACGGAGTTTCTGCGATGTTAAATGCGGGAGAAGAAGACCGGCAAAATAACAGGCGTAATAATAAGAATAAAGAATTTTGTGCGTAGAAGAACAGATAGTTGGAATGCTCTTAACAGCATTCCCACTAAATTATCCTCAGGATAGGAAATCTGCTCTGCCGGAGATGGAAATCCTTCTCATGTAAGATGGAAACAACCAACACTGGTGGGATTTTGGTGACAGTGTGACTATCTTGGACAAAGTTATAGTATAGCCAAATCTGGCAGCACCAACACCTGGTCTGCCACATGTGGAAGCCCCTCTTTAGTTTTTCACCTGCTGAGCCCAGAGAAAAATGATTTTGTGTGCACAAACTACAGGGGGACAGCAGACACCAGTGTGGTTTTGGTGGGAGTACGACAACCCTGGACAAAGTTTTTATTTCCCAAATGTGAAAATCCACTGCCAACACTCAGATGTAACTCCTATTTGAAACACCTTGATTATAATCAGCACACAAAGAAGCACATTTTTCATATGAATATTTGTATTGGTCTTTTAAAAAAAGAAGTCAATGAACAAAGAATTACAACAAAATAAAAGATGAATACTACCTGGACGTCAACAGCCAGTTAAAAATATGTAATAACAACCTTGTTAAAACCAGTCAACTCTTTTACAGAAAGCTTTACATATCATACAGAATCCTGCCTATAATAAGGAAGATCATGTGCTAAATTATTTATTTTTTAAAATATGTTTCCCTTGGTTTTTGTTTTCTGTGCACCACCTATCTGCTGTCTTGGGTAATGGTTAAGGCACTCTTTAGAGAACTTTGTTTCCCTATTTACTTCAAAGTAGAAAGCTGCAAATACCTGGCGGACATTTTCTTCAACTAACAAGGACAGAATAAAACATTAAATCCTTCCACTTGGATCTCCTTATCTACTGCAATAAAACCCAGTTTATATCACCTCATTAACAGAAAATAAAACATTCATCACCTTTCGGTCATGTTCAGTCTTTAGATTAAGTACTCAGCAGTTTTTGAGTTAAACATAGAGTACAGAAAGCATTTCATATTCAGTACCATAAAAACCTCATGGGTTCAGGTCTGTGACGCAACCTTCTTAACTCGTTCATAAAATGGCATGACAGTAATGACAAAGACAAGTATTAACAGTTGTGATAAAAAAAAAATGCGGTTACATTAAAGCAGTAAATAACAATTTAACAGTATAGTAGCATAAGTTAACAGTAGTGTTTTTTCTGAGATGTAGCATTGTTGTTTATATTTGCAGCAGTGTTTCTATGCAAGTATCAAGTCCATTTCTCTTAATTACAATAAGCTGGATGTCGGATTCCATTATTGAACATTTGTAAGAAGAATTCAATGTCTGCTGTGGCTGAGCTAAATAAATCTAATCCATTAATGACTGTAAATATAAGAAGCAAGAAACAGTCGATTGCATTGTACAATATAAGATAAAATTGTGAATTTATGAGCGGTCCAGCAGAGGACGCCCTAACTCCAGATATCTGCAGCCATGACAAGGCATTTGCATAGCTAATCCCTACCCATATGAGATGTACTTCATACATTTAGTAATGAACTGTGCACGTGGGCAGCTGCGAGTTCATGAATGAGAACATGAAAATGCATTCAAAGCACCTGGATCACTTTGCTGAGGATACAGTAATGGTAGGAGGTACAGTATGTTGGACATGAGTTGAAGCTATGCCTCACACAGTAGTATATGATAATGTCTCAGAATGTAAAATCAAGTAATAGGCAAAAAATCGGCACTGCAGTGAAGATGGTAGAGGTCAACTTCAAGTATGTTATGGGTTATCAAGGGAAGAGAATTAAGTGCACAAAATTAAGGCTTTTGTGCACGTTGTGAGTCATGATGGATGTTGTCCTATGAGGAAGAAACATTTGTATCTTTGCAGTAGCTACAGCGTCGGTGTGTCAGGTACAAGGAAGCATAATAACATGGTTCTTTATATGTAGTTGTTAGCCGAGGTGTGGAATCGAGTAGAAAGTAATCACAAATATAATGTCTTGTTTTGACCAGTTTCGTATTTTAAGCTCAAATAATTAGGATTTGGGACTTACGATTTACTTGTTAAACAATTACTTGGTTTGACTTCTGTTTATTAGTAATTGATTTTACATAATCTCAGCAGATTTGAATAGTTTCTAACTTTACCAGCAGGAGAATACCAGTAAGAATGTATTGCAGGGCTGGGCAATTCATTTATAAAATAAACTGGATTCATCCAAATTTTGCTTTCCACGACACGAAAAATGTAGGATTTGCTTTAGATTTTTTTTTTTATATTGACAAAAAGTTTCGTTTTTGAAGGAGTCAAGAGATCAGTTTGCGGAATCTTCTTTTTTCACTTCGCCTTTACCTGCTTGGTGTCTAATGCCGGCTTGCACCTGTTTGCAGCTGAAGCCTTGTCGTGGGACACAAATTAGGATCTATTGCTGCAAGAACTGAATGTGCATAATTCAGTTTGTCAATATCACTCAACTATCTTTTTACATGAAGTTCTAATTAAAATGCTATTTCAATCATACTTTAGTCATGTGGCATTTAATAAAAATGTTTGTTTTGTCCAGCCCTGACAGGCAACAAAATCATTTTCATACAGTCCCTAAAGAAGGAAGGTTCTCTCTGAATTTATGATGTGAAGAAATGTAAGCATTTACGCTTCTTCTTGCAGACACTACTTCACAAGCTCCAGAAAAAATCAGCAGGAAAATAATGTGCACAATCAGCTCATAGCATTTACTGTATTGCACTCAGGATGACAGTGTAAAACCTTCTACCATCTAAACCACCATCTAAAACCTTTAAAAGCTGGTAATAAGCATTTATTTGAACCCCATTTGCCCGTCAACGTTATGCATCAGCATTCATAATGTTTCCTTAACCTTGCTGATATTCCTTTCTTAACAGAAGAACAGGATTTGTTTTTAAGGTCAGGAACGACAGCTCCTTCTCTGAAAGTGATGATAGCTGCACCATATCTGTGGGTGGGGATGTAGTGACCTGAAATAAACTAGTGTGTGGGGGGTATAGGGAGAAACTGATGATAATGTTCACCACCAGCAAACCAGAGAAAAAGGCCACACAGTGAAGCAGCGCACTTCACTCCGTCCAGCTCACATACATCTGATGTCTCTCAATATGCAACGCTGAGAGACCCGGTGTGAAACCCTGCTCTGTCTACTTTACTCAACCGGTCCAGTAAGTGTGAAACGCTAAAACTCAGTTTAAAGTTTTCTTGTTATTAGAAACTCTTATTTTGCACGCTTCTGCAGATGTAAAGCTCGCTATTAAGGGCACATTAGGTGCTGATGGCTCATTAACCAAAGGAGGGAGGGAGCGTACAATCTTAAGACGGCAAGAGGAGAGGGGATCATTATGCACAGTAGCAGACCATGCCCCTCCCCCTCGCTAAGTGCTGCAGAGATGCAAGGGAATGTGTGTGCATGAGTGTGTGTATGTGAGGAGCTGTACACTACATACAGTAGGAGGAGGGGGGATGGGGGAAAGAAAGTGTGTGTTTATGTGCGAGTGGAGGCAGTTTGATGATGGTTGCAGATGAAGCAGGAGCGCACAGGACAGGGAGTGGAGAGTGAACCACAGCTGGCCATGTTTTTTTCTGCTCCACCTTCTTATATCGTGTGTGTGTGACTGGTTTTGCGATTGTTTGAGTAATATAAGCTATGCAAAGATTAAAGATTTTTCAACATCAAATCCCTGGGGGATTTATAATATCTCCTTAGTAAGAAAGCTCCACTTTACCAGGCTAAGGGTGGTGGTGGAAGAGGGGGGGGGCTGTCAGAGCGGTTTGCCCAGGAGGGAGATTGTCGGCCTGGGGTAGCACAGTGGAACAGGGGGCGTGGCTACTCCGCGAGCCTCCCAGGACGGGGAAATGTGCTTCTCTTCACATGTTCAATGCTTATGAAGACCGACAGCAGAGTGCACAATGCACTCCTCTGCCTCTGCGCCGCTATGTGCCAAAGCTCCTCATGCACAATCTCACACATACACACACATGAGTGCACACAAACATACATAAAGATCTCCATTGGTGATGAACACTCACACAATCTCTAACCGTTTGTCTAAGCTGGGACCAGCCAGCAGCCAGAACAACCATACATGGCTTTGACCCTGAATCAAACATTGCCAAAAAAGAGGGGACAAGAGGGGGTTCATAAAAATAGGACGAGTTACTTCTGTAGAAAAATAGAGGAATTTCCAGAGGCTGATAAAATGTCTTTGGCACTTCTGAAAACACAGCATACAGAGAGGAATTGGCACTGAGTATAAAAGGCCAGACTAAAAAGCTCTACAGGCAGAAAAAGATCAAGATAATCCCAGTTCATCCACAAATGAATTTGGCCAGTCCTGGGTGGATTTGAGCCTGAACTGGCCCGTACTCCACCATCTCCCCGTCCACAGTGATCATGCCTTGTGGCGAGACGGGCTCCAGCCGCAGGGCCTTCACCTTCTCATACACCAGGTGGGGGCAGCCGCACGCCAAGTGGCCGCCCTTCTCCATGGCGAGGAACAGCCGCAAGAGGGCTGGACGGGAGATTCCTGCTGTCACGTAGAACAGATGAATCACCCCGTCGTCCGCCATCGCCCCCGGCGCTGTCCACAGATCCTCGGCCAGGTGGGACTGGTAAATAGCCAGCACCAAGACAAAGTCCTCCTCTTTGACGACCGTCCAGCTGTCTGGTATCGGCTGATCGAGCCCGGGGAGAAGAGAGTCCTCCGGTGCTCTGGTCTTTCCGTCGCTCTGAGTCTCCGGTCTCTTGGTGGTGATAGCGTTGTTGGAGGAGTTGGTGAGGGTGTTGTGGTTGGAATTTGTGCTGTTGTGATTGTGTCGAGAGTTTTGGTTCGGAGAGGTGTTGGGGATGAGTCGGCATGGAAGGGAGGAGCAGAGCGACTGATGGTGAGGGGTGGAGGGAGGCTGGTTAGACTTGATGCTCCCTTTTGGAAGTGTTGGCGCCTCTTTAACTGGAAGATACGCCAACCTGCCCTGGTAGACTCTGAGGGAGGCCAGACGCACCAGGGTGCCCATCAGGAAGCGAATGGCTCCGACGTGGCGGTACTTCTCGCTCTCGATGTCGACGTCGGCCACGAAACCCCAGGCCAGGGACAGGAAGGAGAAGAGGCGCTGTCTAGAGGCCAGGTGGATCGACACCAGGTCCATGGAGCCAACAAGACCTTTGCACAACATGAAGCCACAGCTCAGCAGAAGCTCCTCGTTCCAAGCTGGAGGCGACCTGAGAGATGGTTACAAACATCAAGAGTTAGAAACAATCCATAAGACCGTAATCACTATAAATTGTTTTTGCAGAATTGCAGAATTTTCAGTCAAAGGGATTTTAGAAGATTCGGTCAGAAGCACTATAGTTTCCATTTGTAGTCTAAGAAGTATTGTCCAATCAAGTTTGAGTAGGCTTTGGTGGATTGCTGTGTAACAGTCTGTGTGGAACGCATTGGCCTAAACGCAATCTAAAAGTCCATCGCCTATCTTCGAACGAGAATTTAGCATATAATAAGCTTAAAATAAGCTTGAACCTGGATATTTCGGATCCCATCCTAGACTTTGTCTCTCAACTCCAACTCCATTCTCATATCTTAATATGCTAAGTGGACTGTAATCAACAAACAGCGCATAGAAAAGGAAATATTGTCCCAAATATCGGATTGCCACACCAATTCCATAAAGATATTATCAAACGCTTATCATTGTCAGACAGATAGCCGATGGGGTCTTATATTGGCAGAACCAAACATCATGTAAATGTGCAATCACTGGGGTTGGGAACCAAAGTTTTGTGGGTACCGACCAAATTATTAGTTGGATTTGCCGAGTACTTTTTCAAGTTATGTCTGTTACACATTTTCGGTACCTTGGAGAAACTTTTGACTAATGATATTGGTTCAAAAGTAAATAGTACCCAACTAGTTTTCAGTAACTATTTCTGTGACAATAATTGGGACACATGACCACAGTAATCTTTCAATTCTGCCCACACCTGCACCCTGTGGGGCAGCACAAGTAAACACCTCAAGGTGATAGATACTGTATATAGTTTATTTAATTGAGGTTGTGCCCACTGCCAACCAGCAGATGGAGATGAAAACCTGGACCACAACTGGTTCCACCGCTGTATTCTGGAATATAATCGCTCATAATGTGGACGTTTTTAAACCCATTACATCATTCCTTATAGAGTTATCAGCGGCCTGGAATGACCTCTGTTGCACAGCGAAGCAGTTCCAGTTTTTGCTCCGCTGTCTCTCCTCCCTCCTGAGAATTGATGTGCCCAGTCAGCCTTTGGCATAATTACAGCGAAAGGAGATAAATCGTTCTTTTTTTAAGGCCGAGTGTGGTTGTTCTCCTGCACTCTTGGTCCATGCATTTAAATGACCCATTAACGGACTGACTCACTGTGAGTAGTGGTGGACAGAGGCAGCCAGGGCGTTTCCGGAGCCACCTGGCAGAATACCCAGAGGGGTCTGGATGGCCTCCTGCCAGTCCTCCCGCTCCATCAGGCCATTTATCACCTGGATGAACAAGAACAAACAGAAACAGATCATGAGCCTAATGGAAAGTAGTGTCTGTGTGTGATAAGAGGTTCAGATTAAATGTGTTTCTTTGAGAGCTACAGTTGTTTTGTGTCAAGTAAAATAATGAATGGGAACCATCTGGATTCAAGAATGATGAATTCCTAATGTCATTGAGTTATGAGAAAACTCAATGACATTATCATCACTAAAGATATTGTACGTCAACAGTAAAAGAATCATAAGCCATCATTAGAAGAAAATGTAAGACTTAAAACGTAATATTATTAAGAGATGGCAGAGATTTTGTCATAGTATAAATAAATAAAAAATCTAAGTCTATTCTGAAAAAAAAATACGGCTAGTAGAAAACAAGCCAAAAAAAGAAGAACAAATCTACTTCTGCAATCTCTACATGAAATATTGAATAACAATTTCTCTCAGACCATGGTGTATAATTATTTAAAAAAAATACAACAAGGGTTCTAAAAATGCTAAACTAAGTAATAATAATTACCAGAAAATGTACAAATACAGATGAAAAAGCTGTGCAGGTATAATGCTAAATTGTTAGCTATATTGTATTGTCTAGCGTATATTGTATTGTCTAACTTTATCAATCCAACAATAAATTAATCGAATGTCATATGTAAATGAAAAATAATTAAATGAATAAAGATAAAGATGTCTTGTATTTCACATCTTATTTTTTTCATGTGTTTCAATCCTGGCATTTTACATCTTCTATATTGATTATCATATCGCATTAGTCTAGGTATAGAGTCAAAGCACCTCAAACAGCAGCCCGTCTCCAGACATGATAACCAGAGCGTCACACTGCGACAGGTCGGCCTTCCTCACCAGCTCCCGCGCATGGTTCTGGTGCTCTGAGGAAAGAAACAAGTGCAAGAGAGAGGACAAACAAGTATGTGTCAGACAAACCATCACAATAAAAACAAGGGCAATGGCAGAGAAAGAGGCGAGCTGCCTTCATCGCCGGCCTCTGGGGTGGTATCAGGGAGATTAGGCGGAAAAGAGATTCCATTTCCCCGCATAAGGCCAAACACATCACATTATCCCAACCAGCGGCTACTCAACAGCTCAGTGGCAGCTGAGCCGCCCTGCAAACATCTGGGACTGACAAATATCGTGTGTATGTGCATTGACTGGATGCATGTGTTCGGTGTGTTTGCGTGTGTGTTCGTGCATGTGAGTGTTTGTTAATGCGCCGGCGGAGAACTGAGCTATTTGTTCAGCCTAGATTTATTGGCGGCGTTCTTGAGAGGGTCCCTGCAGGGGCTCATCCTGCCAGCATTAAAGTCTACAGTCCTACCAACCGAGACTCCCCAGAGTGTGTGTGTGTGTGTGTGTGTGTGTGTGCGTGTGTGTGTGTGTGTGTGAGTGAGTGAGTGTTTGTAGAGGAAGTCAGCTTTAAAGAGAGTGAAAGACAGAGACAGGAAGGCAGACAGCAAAGAAGTATCGACGCACTGCCATCACTAAGGATATATTTTTCCGCTCTAGCTCAGGTATCGATCGAGTACAGGACAGAAATAAAAACAACTTCCCTCTCCTTTCCTCTCACTTTGCTCAACCTCTACCTGTCTCCCCCCTTTACACTCTCCCGGGCCTCTGTTGCTGCTGTTTGTTTGCTGTGTGGAGGCTGGAGGCAGCGAGGCAGCGCTGTGTTGACAGACAGAGGCAGTTAGGGAGTAACTGCACGGCTCAGCTGACTCAGCCCTTTTAACCTGCTTGGGTTGATGCTTTGTTTCCCAGCTACTTCCTTATTCAAGGGTTCACAGACAAACACACACCTCAGACTAAACCCTAAAGACAGGGGCCGCTTGTAAGTAAGTAAGTAAAGTTTATTTATAAAGCGCTTTTCACAGACAATATCACAAAGTGCTTGACAAAACAATAAGACATCAACATATGTGGTTGGGAAAATAACTTTTGAAATGGAATAGGATTTAGATTGCTAGTTACCCTGTGTCAAAGTAATGTCAATTCATGTTACAGCCCTTTTCCTCCACATAAGGCTTGGCCAGGTGGTTGCAGGCATGACAGACAAAAGGCGGCGCAAATCAAACTAACTAACCAATGAAAAACAACACTCAAATTGTTATGGCATACTGTCAAATTAATGACGCATGTCTGAGCGTAGAGACAATGGATGTAAAAAGAGAACATAGATAAAGCTCCTTAATGCTTTTGCACTCAGATTGGTCCTTGCTGACCTGCGTGTCAAAAAGAAGGCAACAAGATATTAAACAACAAAATGATTGTTTTTTTGTCTGTGATTTCCTTTTTTCTCAGTAACTGTAACAGACTACATTTATTTATTTAATTACGCAATACCGTTGCGTGTCACTAGTTACTCCCCAGCCCTGGTTTTCATGTAATCCAATTGTCATATCCACTGTTGATTCTTCTTTAAGCTGCAAAGACTATGGCTGATAGTTGCACTCTCGTTAAGCCGAGACATACTGTTCGTGAAGACTAGAAATCTCAGGTAAGTTTCAGTCCAATCTACCATTTCCCTCCATCTCTACCGGCTCCCTCTCAGGTTATTCAGGGTAAAGATGCTGCTTGGTGCTCTGGATGCTTCATACACTATGTAAAAGGTACATGTTGACACAAGAGGCGCCTCCACTGGAACGTGTCCTTCCTCGGGCAAACGCTGTGTGATACATTCATCAAGGAGCTGCGTGCAGGATAAATGGGTTGTGCCAGTTAATCCACTCATGGTCGCTCCTCACAGGCTACGGTATCTGACCACAGAAGGCCCTCAGCGACCCATATTCCCCCCCCCCCTCCTTAGGGCTCTGCTCGCCCTAAGTCAACGTCAGTAATTACTCCGCCTTTTTTCATCACCATCCAGCTGCTGACCTTTCTTTAAGTCCCAGGAGTCGGCACAAGAGCCTGCATACGCATCAGCACTCAATTTGTAAAATAAACAAACGCAGATTCTCCCTATTTTTGGCTCTCATATTTAATCTCTCTTTGGTAAATATCAGATATTCAGCTCATGCTCTGCCAAACTAAAACTGGGTGAGCGAATTCTAACCTGTCAAATCCTGGGGTTGGAGTAAAAGGGGCATGAAAATGAAGCTGAGCGTTGTTTTGTTTTTCTTTGTTTCTGATCCTTAGTATTCAGGGGGGGTCAGTTTAAGTTCAGCATCTCTGACGACCTTAACCAACACCCTGTTTAACGTCACAAAGAACCCCCAGCATTTCACACAGAATGTGGAGCAGCTGGGGCGATTGAGATGGAGATTGGATGTGCATCAGAGCTCGGGTGCCTGCAGATGTGGCTTGTGAATGTATGACACAAATAATGCATCATAACTGCAGAGAGTGAAATTGCTTCCTAAAATGAAGGTTAGTTTAAGGAGAACACTACAGGCAAATACAGTTGTTTTCATTCAATGATCAAGTTTGAGATTATGGGCTATTTGCATTCATACAGTATTTGTTTTAGATAAGGGGACAAATCATGTGAGATACACTTTTGCTGTTTGATTCACTATAGTCTATTTGGGTCTGTATGTCTCTTCTAAATTCACCAACAGATAGCATTTGTGTATCGACTTTTACAATACATATTTGTAATGGCTGTTGAGCGAAAAAATCTCCACGTTAGTAGCACTTACATTGATCAAAACTTTCCAGTTTGATTCTTATCTAAATGTTGAGGATTTGTAGACAGTGGTTTGTTCATATCATTAATAGTCTTATTAATATAACATTTGACTCTAATATGTCAACAAAATGAAACAGGAACTTGCCAATTTATTTTCTGGAGATCTATTCAAATGAAGCATATTTTACAAAACAATGCTTATTTTTTTCACTTTCAGTATAGAGTTTCAGAAAAAAAATTGCCATAAAGTATTCACTGAAATGTTTACGCTTTTCACCTGGGGGGTGTGTGTGTGAGCATGGCAGGGTGACTTTGAGAAAGCGCGGGTTAAATACATGAACAATAAAGATCTGCATGTGTGTGAACACTACTGACCTGTGATGACGAGCGTGTAGGGAACAGCGGCCTCGGTCAGCATGCCCTGCACGTGGCCGGTGAAGAGCTGCAGAGCCTGGCCCCGGCCGCTGTGAGGATTCACCAGAATCATGACTCTGCAGGGCCGACGCACCTCCGCATACACCGCACCTGAGCAAGAGAGAGAAGTGAGCAAAGGCCTTGGAAGAAATGAAGAAAGAAGACAAGAGGAGGTCTTTTATGCATGATCAAATATTCAAAAGAATGTATAAGGACAGCCTTGTCCCTGAGGGAAATGAAAGAGCATGAAACACTAAAGTCAGAGGCTGTGACAGCATTCAGATGCTTAATGTTAATGTGACTTGCTGCTTTCTTCAAGGAGAGGACATACAGGTGCCTTTCAAACCATTATTAATAGCAAATCTGTGACATATTATCAATCCCCCATGAGAAAATCCTACTGTTGCTAGCTGAGTAGCTAACGGAGTGACTATACTTTGAAGCACTGGGGTAATGTAGCATCTAGCTCGAGAAGCGCAACTTGGTCAATTGACATATTACAAATAAGAAAAGTAAATCAAAGATGTTAAGAAAGAAACATGGAGATGGGAAGTCACTTGCACTCCTGTTAAATCAATAATTTGACATGTTGCTATATAGCTTAGCTTAGTAATAAGAAACGTAACACGAAAAACAATAGCTTGGCAACATCAAGGCAATAAAATCCATCTAGAGCTCACTAATAACAGGTTCGCCTAAACTAAAAGCCAAACAGCTGAGACTCCAGGAAGTTACTGGTCTTGGTCAAGAATATGCCTAACCCACAACCCCAATGAACTAGCAAATTGTTGTTTTTGCGCATTGGTTTTTGTAAGGACAAAACAAATGATAGACAGAGTTAGGCTAGCTGTTTCTGCTCTTTATGATAAGCTAAGACAATCAGATGCTAGCTGTAGCTACTGTACCATACACATAAGAGAGCTATTCGTATTAAACTCTCAGAAGATAGCTCATAAAAGTATTTCTCTAAATGTTATATCGCGTTGAAGTGAGGGGGGGAGAGAGGCATATTATTTATTGTATAAGCCATTGTGTAGTGGTTGGACATCACCTGCTAAATATAATAAAAATAATGGCCTATCAAAGTATCGTATGCATTAATAGCAATTACATTACTTCTTTATAGAGTATTGAGTTATTTGATTAACTTAGATAAAGTTCCCATTCTTTTTAAATCTGTTTTTAAGTGGGAGGATCAGGTTAAGCCACTTAACTGTGACACTGGCTGCCACTTAAATGGTTTGCAGCTTTTTAAAATACATTTGGAGAGAAGCTTTGCCCAGAGCTGGAATTTTCCGCTGATGCCCTTTAAAGCAGACACAGACTCACTGACACCGTATAAGATGAGTCAGAGGACAAAAAATGCAATGTGTGGAGGACAGAAACGTATAAGTATTAATTTCCACCAGACTTCTTTGGCTGTACGTGGGTGATGCTGACTTTGGTATAAGGATGACACAATTACCAGAAGCACAAAATATATAATGTAATATATCATGTAAATAAATTAAGATGGATACAGTAAGACGCCAGAAGCCTAGTTGTGACTCATTAGCATCTGTATATCTTTCTTAGCATCCATTTCCAGTCCTGTGACCTTCACTGCACTGATGCTGCTTTCACCACCCTCCACCTAATTTGGCCCGTGATGATGGGACTCGGCAGAGGTACAAAAATATCTTCCAAAGAAAAAGTGTAAACCAGCCAGGAAGGGTGAGGAGGGAGTGTGAAAACACACAGGTACATGCCAAACTCTGCCTCCATTCACTAACACAGGGTTTTGTATCAGAGCACAATGCAGCTTTCAGACACAAAGAGTCCTCTCTGCACTTCCAGAATATAGTGGAAACTGGCTTTTGACGGTAAAAGACCTTTAGAAAACAGGTTTTGCACTCAAGTGTGCTGAGCTGCATAGCATATCCTCAATAAGGCCAGTTTAATATTTTGTATTTGTCCTTCAATACCGTGCATGGCTCCAGGTCTCTGACTCAAAGCACTAAACTCTGATGATTCAAACAGAATTATGAATGAGGGAGTAAAGAAAAATGGCATTTCATTTGGATTATCATGCTACATATTCAGACCCATGGGTTGCTCTAAAATCCCCTGTGCTTCAAGGGGATTTATTAAATAGCCTAAAAAAGGTGGGATTTCTAATAGATCCTTGGTCTTTTTATTGTAATGAAGAACCATAATCACAATTCAAGACGTGGTTTTACATTCCTACGGTATTTAAATAATGTAAAGCAAAGCTAAAATAACTACTCCATTAAGAGTATTGATTGAGTCATTAATCGACAGAAATATAATGGCCAACTACATCAACTACTGGTCCATAAATGTATGTAACCTACTGTAAAAAAAAAGTTTTAAATGCATTCATACAAGCAATACATACTTACGATTGTGTTTTTGTGTAATCAAATGGCAGTCTAGATACCATTAAGCAAAAGTACTATAAGGTCGAGTCTTCCCATTGATACATGAGTATTACCTTCAGACTTGCCTGATGCATAGATGAATATAAGAAGGAAACCAAACCGGAAAAGTATAAATCATAAAAGTCCCTCTTTAGCTGAACTTGTCATAAAAACCGTGGGTCTGGAACCCACCGGTGTAAACAATCTGTCTTTGACTTTACAACTAAATAAAACTCCCAAAATCAAGGCAGCTCAACAGTAAACTGATTAAACATTATTGTTATGTGGTGCTCCCAATTCACGTCTCCAAAAATGTGTTTTCCCCAGACATTCCTCCTGTGCAGTGCCTGTTTGTGTGTGACAGGAAGATAGAAGCAGGGTATGTGGGTGAATGTGAAATGTGTCCGTGATGTGAAGTGAGATACCTGCGGCAGTTCCTGACAGTCACACCGGCAAGCAAACTTCCACTGAAGTGTGAGTATTTTACAGATACAGCCAGACACTCACACAGGCAGCCTGAATGTGACAGGGTTGACAAGTGCAGAGCTGATATGAAGACCTCTCATCTCTGTGCCAGAAAGTGGCACAAATCACCATGCTGTTCAAAAGTTCTAAATAAATATGCAGTGCACCTTCAGCATCTCGTGAAGAAGAGCAGGTGGGAGCTGTTGAAGCGTGACACCATTCAACAAATATGTGAGCTATTCAGTGGAAGCTGCAGAAGTAGCACCGTATCCAAACCAGACTGACGTGTCCGCAAACAAGCCGCATTCCAAGGTTGGGTGAAAGTTTGCCAGAGAGCAGGGGAAGAGATTTAAACACAGCTGCCCACTGAGGCATCACCAGACTGCGGGCAGGCGGGGGAAGAAGGGGGGGGGTGTGTGTTACAGGCCATCTCAGCCGTGTGTCACAGAGCCAGGAGACGAAGGCTCCGGGGGGCAGAGATGTTGGGCGGGGTTAAGAGGTCATGCGGTCCGGTGATGCATTTTTAGCTCTTGCCTCTTGGTCTCCTTCCATTGAGGAGGCTGCGGCTGCTTCAGCTCCAGCCTCAAGGGAGGATAGATCCCACACTGACCGACACACACCTGACCCCTGCGGCTTGCTTTTGTCGCTAGCCAGTGGAATAACTTTGTAAGAATTTGCCAATTTTTACATCAATCAAGGGTGCGCTGGGCCCAAGACCCAACAAAGTTTGTGAGAATCAAGATAATCTACAATGCAATTTAACAACTCTTCAATTCTAAATGGCAGATCCACTGGGTGTTAATTGGCCAAGATTTCTGCCACCTGCAGTCAAATCCCGTCATTAACGATTCCTTTAAGGGTTCCATCGTTTCAGGACGTTTTTAACCGGTTATCAGACATCATTAGTGGGAGACCAAGCACTGATAAAAATGTGTTGCTTTCTCTAACACAGCTTGCGTGATGACAGTTGCCCCGGAAGGCTTCAAGCAAAAGTTATCACAAATATTTGCAAACTTTTTTTCTCTTTACTTATTCCTATGTCCAAGATCCCAGACATCCAATGACTCAAATACTAAACTGGCTTTAATATATGGTTAAAAATGATCCCAAGGGGATCTAAAAAACAGCTAATTGTAAAAATGTGGTCTTAAAAACTGATAAACTGGAAACAACCACAACATCAGGAGGACCCTAAAGACGACTAAAGGGAAACAGTCCTTAATGATTTGAATGACTGGATTCCTCTTCATTTGACAGAACTTTTATAATAATTTGGAAGCATGGGACTTTTAAATTCTACCCTGGCTTGCTAGCCAGCTGTTGAAAGCAGAAAGGAAACAGTAGCAACCGCGAGGCCACACCTCCTAAAAACAAATGCCTTGACTCAACAAAGAAAAATCAACGCAACAGTTTGCATCGAACTGTTTATTGTTAAGACCAACTTCCTAATGAGATTGTCTTAAAGCAACAAAAGTCTATTTGGAGTTAGAGGAGAAGGCCCTTTTTCCCCTACATCCAGGGTGTTTTTATTACCACTTACTTAATAAATTGGTTAGCATAACACAGTTTTTGCAAGTTGATTACTCAAAGATTCAGTTGTTCCGACTAGGTTTTACCACATGATTAAAAGGAATTTGAAGTTGTATGTAACTTAATTTACCCTCATTTGGGATACAAGGATTTTTAAGTTGGATTACTCCAAAACATTAAGTTGCCCAACCTTGTTTAACCGTATGATTTTAAAAGGATGGCGTAAAGTGTGTATGTAACTTAAGTTACCATCATTGTGACACACACGTTTTTAGTTGACAACCATTTNTTTGTCCTGATCCATTTATATAGAAACCTGTCTGAAAATAAGCTGATCAGATTTTGGCCACTTTATGATGTCATAACAATGTTTGGGCTTGTGTAACCATTAGCATGGTTACACAAGCCCAAACATTGTTATGACATCATAAAGTGGCCAAAATCTGATCAGCTTATTTTCAGACAGGTTTCTATATAAATGGATCAGGACAAAAAGGGGGGGGGGACATGTTTATGTATAAAATACATGAAAAAGTGGATTTTGCATAATAGGTGATCTTTAATGGTGTTAGCTATTGCCACTTCAATATGAGCCTGTAGCATTACGCCGTTTGCACTTAGAATGAATTACATCTTGGCCGACGATAATTATTGTCTCAACAGGAAGTAGCATGATTTCATCAGATTATTTGTTATAGAAATAAGAGCTGAATTTTAATGAAAGCTTACCTTTGGTTGGTGACGATGTACCCATACTGCTCCTTGGCTCCTGTACCCTCCACCAGTGGCACCCCCTGCTCCTTCAAGTCTTTTCCAGCTTCAGCAGGAGCGGCCTGGGGGGGCTGGGAGGTAGAAGGGGGCCGGTGGACGCTCTTGGCTGGTGATGTAGCTAAAACTGAAGCAGAGGAGGGGGCAGGAAGGGCATCGGGGGGACCAGGAACAGGGACAGGCTTTGCCGGCTTCTGGGCCACACTGTCTGTTTTTAACAGCTGCATCTAAGAGGGAATGATAGAAACCTGTTAGTGAACAAAGAAAAGTTTGATAGCTTTTTGTGAATGCTACTGAATTGAGGCTGACCTACCTCCTTGAGGGTGAGGAGGTCTTTCTCCATTGGTTCTGTGGTAAGACAGACAAACTGGTGTTTTTAAACAGTACAATGTAACAACATTTCAGTATCTTCTTATTCTTAACATCTATTTATTTATAAATTCAGATATAGATGTTAAAGCTCAATATTGCAACTCTATTAACCCACATTTGTTAAGAGTATAGGAAGCGATAAGGGACTCGGTATGACTGTTTGTCAATTTGAATTAATTGAAAGACTACCTGTTTTCTCTTTGGCTTGCATCAGCTGCAGAATGAGGGCTAGCTTGTAGAGCTGCTCCTGACTGAGCTCTCTGGGGTCCACTCCGTACCTCTGCAAGACCCCTGACATCCTCTGAAGGAGGCCATCTACAGCATGATAGCAAAATTAGCAATATCTTTACACTGTACATTTTAGAAAATCAAATACATACAATGTGTATGTACGAACCACTTGGCTACTTTCTATGTATTTTTCTTACAAGACATTCTGTGACACATCATGTAAATTCAATTTAAGTTAAATTATGTTTCGTTTTTCCTCACCATTGGTTCCAGACTGAGTGCTGATGTCCTGAGGAACCTTTTTGTTCTGCAGCGGTTGCTGTCTTCCAGCAGTACCAAGTCTCTCCTCTAGGGTGTAGTCTTCTACATAGTCCACTGGCATCTCCAAGTCCTCATAATAAGGCATAGCTGCTCAAAGCATCATACAGTAGGTCATGATGATAAAATGAATCGTGAAGGTTTAAAGTTTCTTACTGTTTAACAAATAGACTCTAAATGATAGTTTGTTGTCCAGGAAAATATGTAGTTTAATGTTTTTATTGTTCTTAAACAGCTTTTTAGTCCAGTGTTTTATTTTAGAAAATAGAAAGTCCTGTTTACCTGCAGGAGCCATGGCAGCGGCCCCTCTGTGGCGATAAGTGGGCTGTGCAGACGCCATGTAGAGAGAAAAGGCTTCCTGTAGCAGCTGCCTGTCGCGCTCTCGCTCTCTCTGATTGGCCTGGGACCTTGAAGAGGGGCGGGCATAACCATTTCCTGCTCCTATTAGGGATCTCTCCACTTCGTCTTGATATCTATGCTGCAATCAGGAGAAGTATCCAATGATTCATTACTGTGGGCAAGCATGAGTGGGAATTTTAAGATTATAACTTTTTTATATTCTTTATATCTATATGTGTTCTCTCGTTTATTAGCAATAATCTTTAATACAAGAGTTCTAATAACCGCAATTACATTGTTCTAGGATGATCTTCAGTGTTTTTCTTTCTAGATTGTGATGTACTTTTTCATTTACGTTTGGAACGTATCTGTGATCTGTGAAAGTTGCTGTTGGACTTTTATGATGTGTAGCTGTACCTGGTGGTATGTGTATGGGTCCATGGAGGCTGTCTGCATACGTAGAGGGGTTTGAGGAGGCTCGACAATCATGTAGTCCAAATAGTTGCCACCAGGAGGTGCAGACCCAGATTTAGAACTGTGGGGGTGGGGGGTGTTCTGTTTGGACCTGGCAACCCAGAGACAAATGAAAAGAGGAATGGAATAGCTTGAAAGGAGGGAAGGATGAAAGGTAGGGTCAGAGGGAAATACATTGCTCTGAGTTCATCCTATATCATATTTGTTGTCTGTAAAATGTACATTTCTACCTTAATATCTTAATATGTAAATGGAGGGCACTTACTGAGATGAAACAGAAGAGGACGAAGAGGACTTTGGCTTAGAGGGATGGGTTGTATGGGGAACTCTCTTCAGCTCCTTTGATAAAATATACTGGGTGATGTCATCTTGCCAGGAAAAACCTGCAAAAAAACACACAAACACACACACAGCAATTAAAGAAACTGAGAGCGAGAGTGCAAGGCTGTGGTGGAGTGGAGGAGAACGAGATAAAGATTCCCTGAAATCGATACTGTTTTTTAAGAACGTGTTGAAGTGCCTGTGAAATCAACAAATATCTTCCTGTACACTGTAAGCCTAAAACTGTGCTGTACGATTTTGTGTTTAGTGCCGGAATAATTACAAGAAACATTTAAATGCTAACAATGGTAAACATTAAGCCTGTTTAACATCAACATTTTAGCCTTTTCATTTGGAGCACACTCAAAACCATTTGAAATGTTGACCTTAATTAAATGTATTATGTCAACAGATTTCACATCATTTTATTAGGTTAGTTTAACATTTAAATACAAAAACAATAGGTTCATCTTAATACTATTGCTTTCAACTAATCTAATATAATAATGTGGAACCTGTTGACATTTTACATTTAATTAAAGCCAACCTTTATTTTTTGCAGTGCAAATCATCAAATCAAGTTTTATTTATATACTGTAGCACATTTAAAAGCGACTTTTGGTCGAGCCAAAGTGCTGTACATGTAATAAAAACACATTACTACAATCACAATAAAAGACAATAATTTACAACAGAAATATAAAAAACTAAAACACAGGGAATAGTCAGGTGTCATGCTCCGCTCTGACTAGAAGGCCATGTTAACATGCAATCAAAGCACAGCTGTATCAAATATAGCCTCACTATTTTAGAGTCTCGGGCTTGTTTAACAGTCTTTTTGTATTGGCTTTTATTCTTATTAGAGAGATAGACTGATAGCAGACTGAAATTCAAATATGGCCGATAGGCAATGCACCCTAATTCTCATAAACATTGGTATAAATTACCCACAATTTTGCCCTGTCAAAAAATGCAAGAGAAAATGTTCATGTGTGATCTCACCTTTTACCATGAGCTGTTTTAGGACTTCCTGCATCCTCTTCAGAACAGGAACTGTAACCTGGTACTGGACCAGGTCCTGCCTAGAGCTGAGGCACTGACCGAACAGCCCGTCTGAAATGAAGAATCACACACATAAACCAATTTAAGCCCTTATTTTTGCCTGTTAAGTATGTAGTGATTTTGTTTTTAAAGTTACTTCTGGACAGAATCCAACACAGTTTACAGACAACGAGGAGGAAAAGCACAGGTGTAAAAAATAATACTAACGATGGATGAATTCCGTATCGTTCCTTTAACTACCGGATAACAGAAAACAATTGTTAATGTTATTAGTTGTATCTGACAAATGCCTATAGGAAATACAGTCTCTGTTAACAATTGTTTATTATTAATTAAATAATTTAACATATTGGATGTTAGCTTAAACTGTACAGTTTCCCTAAAATATTTCAGTAAAATTGCCCTAAAGGTACACTACAGTATTTTCTAAAGTGACCGGTAATACTTATGCCCACAGCCCACAGCAGTGAGTCATAGTTTTAAAGTGCAGCCTACACACTTTACTGTCTGTCACTGCTTTTGATGAGGTTCTGCCACTGTCAGTCCGTGTGCTTTAGAAATGTTCCTTTGAAACAGTTAAAAACGTGATGGCAGCCCCATAGCAACATAAATGATGATAGCATTTGCACAGTATTATTGTCTCTGAAATCTCCTTATTATACGATCATGAATGTATCCATATTTGAACATGTATACATGAAGGAATGTGCCAATTTATGTCAACCTTAGCCCACACAATTACATGCATACACTCTTAAAGCAGAAACAATTATTCATGGTTCTGAGGTGTATGATTTTGATGGTTAATCCCTTCTAAACATACATCTGATTATACACAATAAAAAAGGCAGGGATGAGGAAATTCAAGAAGTTTGTATGGATTACTCCTGAGAAACTCTGTCTAATTGTTCAGCATTAGATAGAAAGCACCCCAAGTAAATGTTAAACAGTGAGTGCGAATCTCAAATGTCTTTTAAATACGAAATCTCAGTGAGTGAATAAATAAAGGAATTTCTGGAAAAAAAGATTGTCAAACTGCGATGAGACAAAGCAGAGCAGGCTACGTATTATCTGACGCAATGATGAGTCACCACACTGGCTAAATCTCACACATCCCAACCTGCCACAATGAAACTGTGAATTGCTAAACTGAGAAGATAATAGGAGTATTGTGTACAGCCTATTTTCTGCCATTTGATGTATTAGAGAGAAAGGAGAAATATATCTTCACATTGTTTCGTTTTTGCTGCAATAACTCATTTCAGTTGTGAAATAAGGTTAATATCTTAGCATTGTGTTGGAACCAAGTTGATTGTTGACAGTCTGACAAGATATACAGATAAAAACGTGTACATATTTCAAACCCCATAAATCAAATGACAAATAGTCATTGTTGATGATGTGATATGACATTGTATCAAGGCAATGAATTGCACTGGGAGGGTGGAAATACGATAGCTCTTATTCCTGACGGGGAACTGGCTCATGACAGAGAGAAGAGGAACATGAGGAGAAGGAATGGAAGATGAATGGAGCAAACGGCACAGTTTGATTGGATTGGGACTATTTCTGGAGCTGGGGTTATTTCTGTGGATATCACTTTTGTGAAGGGGATATACACTAGTGTTCAGCACTGAACAGGGGGTCTCTGTTACATGTGAGAGGAATGGAATATTTGGCTCAAACTATAAACAATAATTGAATGAAATAGAGGTTGAGTAAGCCCCATCGAGAAAAGTATTAACAGTAAAGTAATAGCAGACAATATAGGGACATAATGAACAAAAGTTATTTATGATGTTTACTTTTTCGGTTGTAACCTATTTATGTTGACGACACCAACAGCACTGCTGATCTCAGGGCTTGTGCGAGAACCCTAATAAAATGAGCATGAGCTGCAGCTGGGTAGTTATTACAGACCTTGTCAGTTGCCAAACCATTTCTGGGAGCGGGCCCATGCACACAAAACTCTAATGATAAGGTCAATGTATAACCTTTTCCTGTTTTCCGACAGCTATAAAGGGGGGTTGCCTGCAACATCAACATAAAGCTTGGGCCATGTATAATGATGACCCTACACAGAACCCGAAGCAGGTGAACAACACACACCTTTACCTCTGACTGTCTTTACGAGAGGGTGAAAACAGGGGAAGATAGAGCTTTGTGTCCAAAACTGCACACTCCACTCCTTCTACCAAATTTATAGCAACCTTAAAAACGTATTATCTGTGTGGCATAGAGCCAAGATAGGTGCCAGCCAAACGTCCTCTCACAAACAAAATAAACAACTGCTGAGAGCATCTAAAAAAGCAGTTCATTTTTCCTATACTGACAGGCAGCAATGCATAATAGGCCTTTAACTCCAAGACACCTATTTAATTATTCTTGACAGGAAAAGTGTGGATGCACCGTTGCCAGGATGCCATATAATGAGTTTGCCTCCCTGTCAGTTATGGATGGATATTAATTATAACTTTCAGTTTTAATTATGATGCTTTGATTTCTAAGCTAAACTAGAAGGCACACTCTTTTTTTCAGCAGGAGCTAGATGCCCTGTGCACCGGATCAGTCTCTCCATAACTAAATACAAATTGCCACAAATTGTTATTGACACTCCAATTCCACACGTGAGTAAACCAGCCTGCTTAAAAAAACCTGCGAGTGAGGAAGCAGTTGGATTTATATATTGTAATTCAATTAATGCTGAAATTGCATCTGAAAATAAAATTAAAATAAACATAAACGGCAAATAGCTGTCTTGTGAAATGAAGCGGGCTGCTTTGAAAAGAAAAAGTACAATTATTCATGTGTAGCCTGTTTACACTGATGAATTTGGCAGTTCCATATTTGTACAAGGGCACTATACCGTCTTTGAACACATGGACATATTTTGCCGGTACTAAAGAAAGGAGGTTTACATTATTTGAATAAGATGCCATTGCTTATAATAAGTTAATGAAAAAAACAAAAAGCATTAATATTTTGCATTGATTATTCCGTTGCTTCTATTTGTGTCATGCTCTACAACACCTCTGTGTCCTCTGTATCTCAACTCAACACAGCGTCTGCTTAAGTGTGAGTGACAGGTATCCTGCATGTATCTACAGAGACGCTGCTAAAGAATTAGATCAATTAGTATTTGTTGGTAACAGTTTGTTTACAGCTTATCTTGCATTGTATGCTCTTAAAGAGATACAGAGTCAGGTAGAGACAGAGGGTTCATCATCCACAAATCCTTTGAGATGTCCTTATTTTTCTCTAAGACCCACAGATGTCCTTAAATACATCCCTGCGTCTGCTGCTGAGCAGCAGGAGCACTGAACCATTTAGTATTCAGTCCAATGGCTGTTCGTGTGCGTAAGTGCAATTTCCACAGAGAAGTGCGTAAGTGTGCGTCAGTGACTCATCACTGTATTGCCACAACAACTGTGGGGGTGTCGACCTCACAATGATGTCAGTGTTGCTATGGAGACAATCGAGCAGGGGAGGGGCTTAGATAAAAAATGAGGAAAGGGAAAGGGGCAGGTGACGGTGAGAGATAGACAAACAAGGCTGAGAGAGGGAAGAATCCTTGACTTGAGTTCAGATATATTCACATACGATATTTGATGTGTGTGTGTGTGTGTGTGTGTGTGTGTGTGTGTGTGTGTGTGTGTGTGTGTGTGTGTGTCTGGCGGCGTAGTTAATAATTTAATATGTTAAAGACTTATATACATGTAAAGGATCAAAAAGTAGGCTGTCTTTTAAGTTTAATGTTTGAGTTCAAGCGAGAGAGATTTTGTTTTGATTTAGTGTGTTTGTTTGTGTGTNTCGAGGCGTCGTCTTGGCCATTTTTTCTTTTGGAAAGATGACTTGATGATTGGAAATGGGGACTGGCTTTTTATCTGCACAGGGTTTTTTTTTTTTTTTATCTCATCCACCCCCTCGGTCTTCTGGACATCACAAATTGGGGCGGCCTTCTGTCACTTTTATGCATATTAAGTGATGGAAGCGGCATTTTGTTTTAATGACTTGGGGGGCGGGGCCCCACCTGTCACTTTTTATGCCATACTAATGTTGATGAAACATTTCCTTTTTTGATGATACCACCATTAAGGCGCAACCAGTTGGGGGCTTTTCAGCACCTGTTGAATACCACATCAACCCCTGCTATCGACGGATCTCACACCTACTTGGGATATTCACACCTACTTGAGATGCCTCACACCTCCGAACAAAGGGGAAGCGGGCTGTCTAACTCTGCTGTATGTTTGTATACTGGACTTACGCTACTACTGGCTACTACTACGTTACTGTATAGTATAAACGACTGTTAGAGGTTCAGGTTTTTTATCTTGTACCCTATATAATGTTGTATATATATATACACTGCTATAGTATACTGATATGTATGCCGCAGTGCACTGCCGCTGCTCGTCCAATCAGTGAGCGACCCTCGTAACGGTAGATTCTGTTTGCAAGAGAAAGATGACAAGGATTCCAGTCGCGGGACCGCGAACAGGAAGAGAGCAGACACACGTATCTGCAGGATCCAATAAAATTTTACCAATCGAAAAGAAGTAAGATACCAAGGTCTCAAAGTATTTGTAATATTCTTAGAGTGATCCTACAGTGATTATCGCTAACAACTTGGACATTCAACATTCACAGATTAATACAATAAATAAGGCATATGTGTGATCTCCTATGATGTGTTAATTTACCTAAAGCTTTACTACTACTTAGTATGCTACTGCACTACTGTTACTGGGCCGCCATATATCGGCCATCACGACCTCTACTGCTAGGCTACTGCTGTTTCCTGCAACGCGTCACTCGCTACTTCCGAGCTCATTCCCGCGTGCACCTCCCGAAATCACAGCACCCCGCCCCACGAACTGCTATTCTCCCACCTGCTACTATACTGTCTCATCGTGGACACGGCAGCTACATACTAGCTCGCTAGATTGGCGCAGACAACGGTCACTGCACTCCGGACTACTTGCAGCTAAGCCCTGAGGCCGCTACTACTACTACGGTACGAGCGAACTGGAAACTGAAAGCTTCCGAACAGCTAGCTGTCTTACTCACTACGTGCTACTACCTACTCAGCGCGCTCCACTTGAGAACTGACTCTAAACTAGACCCGAGCTGGCTTATGGCTACTTACTCACACACTGTTCACTGTGCAATTGCCAACTCGCTTACTGTACCTACCTCTGCTCACTGCTCCTGGCTGTGCTTAGCTTGACACTTCTCGCTGCATCTGCATATTCGACTCCATGTCATACGAGTGGCCTACTGGCTATACTACTGCTTAGTACTGCTACACTAGTTGTTACTGACCAGGCGGGTGTCCGGTGTTGACCATTTTCGGCTCCGAGCGGTTATTGTGACAAAATTACCGACGGTTTACATATTCATGCCACCTCGCCTAATATGGCTCTTTTTCTTTAGTGTTAACCATTAAGTGAACTTTAAGGTAGTTAGGTTATTGGCAAGAGGCCAGTACTGTATGAGAACTAAGCTGTTTAGCGCCTTACAATGGCGTTTAGTAGTGCACTAGCTACCAACGAATTAGAGCATGGCACGCAGTAGGATGCTATCTTTAAAATGCTAGCAGTGGCGCGTGCTTACACTGACATTTAATATCACAGGTTTAACCATTTAGACAATCGGGTATATCGTTTGCATTATCCTTGACCACAAGTCAGAAGTAACTTAATCATTAATGTGTTTCACTGGCACTATTTTCACTGTCTCATGGCATATCAAAGTTTAGGCTACTTCAACTTAAGCTTAGAATGGCGTTTAGCGCCGATCTACAGAATGGTGAACACACGAGAGGCAGGGCATTTGCTAATGTAATGTAAATGATTATTATCAAGATTTAACATTATTGACAGTCGGATATAATTGTTACATTTCCCCTTTACCCGAAGGCAAAAGTTATTTCGAGCATTTCAGCTAAAACTATGTGTTAATATTAACAAATATACCTTGCACTGGCTGTGCAGCTGCGGGTGATGGTCTCGTAGATGAGTGAGCAAATTCGATGTGTTGCTCCCTTTCGCGGATACCTTCCGCCGGCATGTCCTGCACACGGGGGCACCGTCCTCCACCAGTTGCCCCTCGGAGTTTTTTAAATATCCAAAGTAGGACCACACTTCTGATCTTCTGCGCTTAGAAGGTGGAAAAATGGTACCATCGCGGCTTCCTTCTTCTGCTGCCATGCTTAAAGTGAGAGAGTGTGATAAAAGAACCTAGGACTAGTGGCGCCTGCGAACGTTCGAAAGTGTCACGTGTGTGGTGTAGAGCTCTAGTAACGCAAATAGATAACATTATGTTTTGAAATGCAAAGTATTTAGCGCGGTAACAGTGTAATACAGTGTAACCGTGGGAGTATTAGGGAAATGAAAGCTCTCCCGGTGTAACGGTGTGCGGTAATTTAACCCACCGACATAACACCGTGTTTTGAAATTCAGAAGGTTATCTCACCGTCAAAATATTTTAGCGCGGTTACCGTCTACACCGGTAACCGTGACACCCCTAGGACTGGTAGCTGGAGAGACTCTTGGGATCAATGAAGGTTAATCTTAATAAACGAACTACTTTACGCTCACATGACTTCACGTCAATATGCTAAGCTAAAGGCGGCTAATGCTGGGCAAGTTGATGTTTCGTAATCTATTTGAGTCACTTGTTAGCAACCGACACTTGGATGCCACATAAAAGCTTCAGACGTTCTCCAGTGGGGTATTTACTGACATTTTTGGTGTGGAACCAAATGTGAATATCTATTAAGCTTGTGTCAACCATAGACCATATTTCTGGAATTTAACTGAAAACCATTTCTTTGTGTCAAAGGAGTACAGAAGCAGTAATATGCTAACTAATTTCCTGGTTTAGGACTGATTCCTAGACCACTCTATTTCTGTGCACAGCAACACAAATGGACATTTACTTGGTTTGAGGCAAGCTATATTTAATATTTAATAATGTGACCCTTTTGGTGGTGTTGTGTTTTGCAGGAAGGAGCATCCGCCCGAAAGGCCCAGACTCCAGCGCTTCAGCCGGTCCCGCGTCCAGGTCGGTGTTTCTCTCTGAGATTTGAGCAGAATTACTGCAGAAATACTTAAAATATTAATGGAACATCCATTTTTTTAAGACTTGATGTCCATGACACATACTAGATTTGGACCAGAAATCTGTCTTTGTTAAATGGATACTTTTTATATTCAGAATAATATATATATTTTTTTATCTTTGGGGTTAGTAATAGTTGCTAAATTAATAAATAAAGAAAAAAAATCTATAACATATATTCATGTTGAAATATTAAATAAACTGTAACAAATCAAATCTACATATATTTAGATCGATAATAATAAGTACAATTGAATGAAATGTCCACTTCCAGCATCTTATCTATTCTTGCTGTCATTTTCGATCCGGAGGAGCAGGAAAAAAACTCTACTAGATTAAGAAAAGACTCTGTAAAAAATAAAACCACTTTCCTTCCATTATGCAGTAAGTTCCTTTTTTTTCTAAAAGGTCAAATATCCAGCTGTTTAGTCTCCCTTTCTGTCCTTATCCTCTGTAGCCTTGACCTGAATGACATGTGGCTGATTGTGATTTCCAACATTTCCTGTCTGTCTTGCCTGTCAGGAAGCTGTCCTCATGTGTCAGTCAGTTTAAACCAAAGTTTCCTTTCATTAACCAATTTGATGCATCGGTAAAAATAAATGTCTGTGAATACATTCCCTTTCAACAAAATATTTTATACATGTTTTACATTTGAACACATAATCATAACTTTATAATTTACCTTTGCCCAATAACATCATTATTTCTGAATGCCCACTGGCTGCTAACAGCTAACATAACTAGCTATCCTCTTGTCAATTTCAAAACGAATCGTTGTTCACTACGAAGCATACAAAGGGCAAAAGAATATGCCTCGTCCTCTAGAGCAGTGGTCGATCGCGAGTGTGGTGCGGGTAGATCGCGGACCGTTAAAAAAAAAAGTAACAAAAGAATGAAAAATTAAAATAATAATGTTTGAAAAATACGTTTTTAGATGTAAACCTATCATCCACCACCCCTCCAGGTGCCACTTGATTGACGTATATTTGAGACACCTCAATAATATAATACATTAACCGTGCTTTACGTGAACCTCATCATGACACAAGAGACAACGGCAGGACTGTAATTTCCCGTGTTCACTGAACGCAACAGAGGCAAGACACCACACCAATCAGAGAGTTGCATGGAAATACACGTGTGCTTGTGTCATTCAAGCTCGGCTCTGTGTGTGTGTGGCAATAGCGCATTTAGTGTGATAGAGAGAG